CGGGCCTCGTTGCGGCACCAGCCTCAACGGGGACAGCGACGGGCACCACGTCGGCGAAGATCCGTGAGAAGTTGAGGGCTGAGACGACGGCGACGTGGATCGGGCGCGACGATGTCGATTAGGGGCGAGCGACGCGCGTAACGACACGGAATGGCGAGCACTCGGTGCAATCGCGAAGCACACGCGAGCGACGAGCATCGCCCCAGCTCGGCACCAAGCTCACGACTGCCTCTCGGGGGCTTAGCTGGGGGTTGCTTCGACTCCTTCGGTTCACCGGTTCAATCGGTGGCTGGGGGCGGCCTTCGAGGGGACGGGGAGGGCTACGTTATAACCCGACACACAGCTGCCGTCTAGGGGTTGGAGTCGGAAACGTGGCGGACGTTCAAAGCGCAAACTCGCCGGCGCAGTAACGGTGACGCGAAGGTTTCCGCGCGGGGTTGTGAATAGGGGTGCTGGATGCACTCGCGGTCGTGAGATTGTTCGAAATGGCGAGTACGTCGATTGGGAAAGCATTAGGGCTAGCTAAATATTCGTATAAGTGTATAAGTGTCAAAAGTTAGTCGAAGTAAAAGAAAATAATTGGACCGGGTTACGTGATTTTTTACTCGAACGTGAGTATTTCATTGGATGGAAATAGTTTGGACTATAGTTGACTATAGAGACGGTTAAGTGCGTTTTATGTGTGATTCGAAAATTTTATCTTTCGATGATATTGTATTACGACCATGATTTGGTTTAATAGGAGTATTGAACGTAGTTTTAAAATTATTGGCTATTATAGGTGTGTATTTTACGTTGTTAGGATAGTTTTCGAAAATAAAGGAGAATAGATGCGGGTCGAAAATATGAGAGCAAAATAGAAGGAAGCTTTCCACGGGATAAAAGTATACATTTAAAATAACTTGATCAGAATGCTCATTTGTACGCAGTCGCTGGTGATTCAACGACGCAGTAGAAACTGCCGATCGCGGTCAGACACGCGATACTGGCATTAACTCTCTAAATTAAAACTGTGACGCGATATACGCGATGCGAGACGAAAAAACGAGAAAGCACACGAGTAAACAACTTTCGTGATCGAACCACTGTTTTCGAAAATTCACTTTTTTCTCACATGCTTACACTAATTCATCCTCTAAAATTTAGAATTCTACTAAATATTTCTCAAAAATCATATGCAAAGAAAAATGCCCTCTTCCACAAATTAGCCACTAACCGCCACTAAATTACTCGCCTAAGTAAACGCTAACAAAATTCAAAATCAATCAAGCCCACGCCGCTTGGAAGGACAAGTGTGCCTCCCACCTCGATTCCTTATTATATTCCAAGTGATTCGTAATCACATTAACCGCGGCCAGAACACACGTGGCAAGAAACCGATACTCAGGATCAATTAAGCCTCCATCGGCATGCACGCTCGAATTCCTCCGGTTCGGCGTTTCTGACGTAAGCATAACCTTGAGCCAGTTTCGATATTAGGCACGCGTGGTTAACAGCTCGAGAAAACTCGTCCCTTATCTATCTCATCGATCCTACATATATATATGTATATACCGGAAGGGAGAGAGGAGGAGTTAAATCCTTCCTTTCTTTCCCTTTTCTTTGATCGAATTCCATTTCTCGAAGCAATTATTCACCTTCGATTCCACCTCCCTCGTCGCTTGTTTCGCTTTGGTAGATATGAACGATAGGAACACCTACCTGCGCGTTCTACCGCAGTGTCGGGGTACTTGCACCCTCGTTGTAAACGTATCAACAGGTTCGCGTGCCGGATGCGCTGGCATACCGGAAGTCATCAGCAAGGCCGCACGACGTGGTTTTTCACGGCCTCATATGGTAACGATCTGGACATTCTCTCTCGTTCTCTCTCGCTCTCTCTCTCTCTCTCGCTCTCGTTCGTCCTTTCTCTTTCTCGCTCTCTCTCGCTCTCTTGTTCGCCCTTTCTCTTTCTCTCGCTCTCTCTCTCTTTCTCTCTCTCTCTCTCGCTTTCTCTCTTTGCACGAGATAGACGAGTCGTAAAAGTTAGCTCTTGATAAGCATCGATGATACGGGAATAGAGGCGAGATTTCGAGGATTTTCTACGGGACGATAGAAAATAATAGATTAGAATGAATTTAAGTTGCTTACGGGTTAAATTATTATGTATAGGGAATATAAAGAGTAAAGAGAGAAAATTGTGGAATAGAATCGCGTGGAATTGAGAGAAGCGCACTTGGGGGATGAAAAAATTGTATAATAAAATTTGTAGGCCCATCTATTCTCACTTTTATCGAGTCGCGTTACACATAATTTGCGCGAATTTCGGAATAAAGAATTGACGCGTATACTGAACAGATACAGCTAGTTAGAGACGTTCCTTGGAAATTAGGATCGATAAGAGGTAAGTACAAAATTGCCTAAGCTAAATGATCGAACACATTCTCGACGTATTCATTTTGCCAGTAGTCGATAAGATGCTTGAATCTTGCCTCCTCTTGTGTTGCTCTTCTTTTTTCTGTACTTGTCTCTCTTGTCCTATTACGAAATGCATGCAGGTTTTTTTGTAAAAAATATATCAAAGTATCTAATGTGTTCTAGCTTCGATATCGAAAAAACGATTTATATTACGATAAACGATATTTCGATTTTTCATTCGAACGTTGTTCATGCGATATACTCGATTTAGGTTTTTTCTGTTTACTCCGTATGATATTAATTTCCAAAGCCGAGATGAGAAATTCCAATATCACAGAATTTAATTTCTTTTTTTTTTTTTTTTCTGTTCCTCGCGTCATCGCGGGGCAAGAGAAATGAATCACGGAATGGACGAATGGTTCGTTTTAGAACAATTTTAGACTTATTTTCTTTTCTCCTTTTTTCTTTCTTTCTTTCTTTCTTTCT